AACTTTTAGTACTTTTTGTAGTTTTAGTACTTTACTATTTTCTCACGCTGTATCTTGTGACCCCCGTTCAAACCCCAAACACACTGTTTTCACACAGAGCCCATTTTACCAAGACAGGTCAGCTTTTAAGCATACACGTTCCACTGAATGCCACAGCGCTGCCTTGAACTTCAAATGACCCCAGCAACAAAACCATGTGGACTTGAGTTGAGACTTTACATTTGTAGTGAAAATGGGTAACCCTGCATGTGCACATGTGGCCCATCTGTTTCACAAGGGTAAGGATCTACGTTCAGTGGTCCAAAGGCAGTTCGCCCAGCCATTAGGCGTGTTTTGGTGTCGGTAAACCAACTTTAGGTCTCTGATCACAATCCAGATCTAAAAGAAACAAACAGGCTGCAAGTTTAAAAAAGATCAGGGACACCTGAGTTCTTAAGGTGGAACCCATCACTCCAGTTGTGACAGATCAAAAGATTAACTGTGGCTCTTTTAGGAATAAGTCTGTCAACAAAGATTTGCGTGGTGCACCAACATCCCATAAGCAAGTGTGTGTACTCCTGGTCATAGCCGGTCAATTTAGACACCACCTAAGGCTGTGTCCAATTTACATGGCTGCGGCTTCAAATTACACACAACGCTATAGGCAGCGCCTGCAGCCACTATCATAGACTCATGCATAATTTCAAGCCACAGCCAATTAATTCGGACAGGGCTGCGGTGTACCTTGAATCCCGGAGAGGTCAACTTGGCCATGACCTTCGCTGACCCCGCCCGGATGCCCTCGATCAGGATGCGGTCCCCCTGCTTGCCTTGCTCCTCCATCCTCTCAATGTACTTGGGTGGGTCGTAGGGCGACTCGTGGTAGGTCACCAGCCTGTGTCAGAGGTCAACTTGGGGTCAGATTTTTATCGAGGCAAACAGACACATCCCGAATTCGTGATGTGTCAAAAACTTACTGAAAACCAACACAGGGTGGTTGACAGCAAAAACACATTCATTTGCAAAACAGGAAACCTAGGTTTGAAGATGCGCTGCTGTCTGAAGACCTACCTTAGGATTGTCTTGGCGTCCACGACGATGTCAGCATCGTTGTCGGAGAGCAGGGACCATTCAAATTCTAGGCCCTCTAAACTGCTAAATGTATTCCCTGTTTGGAGAGTGAGAAGTAACAGGAATGTGAAAGGCACAATTGGAAACTGCTATTGTAGCTTTGTCGCAGCCTCTCCAGATGAGTTGGTTCGAATCCCGCCAAAGCTGCATAGCTGTCCCCAGGCAAGGAGTTTTACAGAAGTTCCTACCCCTTCCCAGGACTAGATTAGACCCAAAAAGGACCCTGAAACACAACTCCTTCTTACTCAGTAAGTGGACAGCCTTTCAAAGACCCCAGTAATACACCAGATCTTTAAATAAAAATACCTACGGACAATTGGATATTATGGAAGACTGAAATGGGAAAGACGAGTCTGCTATAAAGAATTCGCCACTGCTTATCAGCATAGTGCTGGACTTCAGATAAGTTCCTTGTAAGAATCCATAAGGGATCAGGTCAGATATCCAGTTTACAGCAGCGTTTTACGATGAGATGATTTATTTTCTCAAGCTCATCACGACCATGGGAATCAAGCCAGCAGGTGTCGCATGCTTTCCACGACAGGTGGACAGATTTCATTTCTGTTCCTGTGAGATACAAACCTTCATCGTCAAGAGCCCTGACTTCAAATTCTTCAGGGGAATCGCCGAGATACAGCACCCTGGTGGTGGTGACTATGTCAATCAGATCAATGGTGTCCACAATCACGTCACATCGGATGGTCTGGCCACTTGCTGAAAAAAAAGAGGATTTGGGTGGTAGTTGATGCTCAACATTAAGCAAATTGTGCTACGGTCAGCAAAAAAATGTTTGACGGAAATTGGGCCTAGGTCTATGGCGCCGCCTTTTACCCTAATGTACATTGATGGGCGTACGTTGTCACCAACCTGCTTCCTCGGCAAAGATCACAGTGGTCATCTGAGTTGGGTGGGTGGACAGAGCGGTCACTTTTGCCCTGTGGGAACACTTCCCATCCTTCCCCTCAATGGGCTTGACCGAGGCCACCTCTGGCCGCGAAGATCGCCTGATAACAAAATTAACACGATTGTTGTGTTAAACCTGGTCATTTTAAGGACAGAGGCCTACATCATTACATCTAACAATGCTACCAGCCACATTCGTGTAAACTCATAAGGATATCTTACTTGGACCTCCTCAACAAAGATTGGGCAGAATTTCACCCATGAGTGCCTGTCCTCAGTGTGCCATCTAGCAATGGCTGACCTTCACGACCATATGCCACATGGATTCTTCATACTGAGGATATGTATAACTCAGTGAGGGAACTGTTAATTTGAGATCTCATTTTCTCAACAGGAAATTGGATTACAATTTGTCTTTGTTTTGCATACAGAAGCTCGCCTATTTAATTTCCAATTTAAAAATTTTTTGAAATGTAACAATACACTGAAATAAGGCACTTATCACCCTCCTTATTAACAAGAATTTCAAGCTTTACAGTCAAAACTCACACTCCTTTTCATGCACAAAATAATAAGCTTGTTGTGTCATGCCTGCATTACACCTGTCCACAAAATCCCAAAAGTTCAAAAACGTAACCAAAAATCCCTGCTTCAAAATGTACATACAGTATTTGTTTTCTTTGCAGAATCCAATGGAATCCAAACTTAACCTTATAACATCCTCTCCAACTTCAAAACGAAAGAGGAAAAAAATTTTACAAATTCATCAGCCCCTCGACCAACGACCAGACACAAGCACAGTGAGTGATACATTGTGGGGTAATGGAGCTCAATCGTTTTTTGTCAGTGGCACAGGGTGTCCATGTACATTTCATTCATTTATTTTTCGATTTGAAAACGAAAACCACAAATCCAAAAAACAAGTCATTTTCGCATTCAAAACAAAAATTGAAAATAGAAAAATGAGTCATTTCCCATTTTTCGTTTTAAAAGCAGAAAATTAAAAAAAGAGAAACAAGCCATTTTTCGTCTTTCATTTAAACATGAAAAATGGCAATCACTTTTTTTTCTTATTTTTCAATGTGAAAAAGAACGTCATAATTTATTGATCTACTTTTTAACAATATTTGAAGACTGAAAAACAGCTTCATTTTTCATTCTGTAATGTACACTGTAAAGCATGCATGTAAAAATGGAGCAACCCAAATTTTTCCCATTCTGAAAGACAACTTTCCTTTTGAGAAGTGCTCAGAGACATTCATGAGTATTTACAAGTCTGGTGAAATTACGAAACTGGGATTAAACTAAATTTCAAACAAGGCTGTTACACCCAACTATGATTCATGACAGTAGCGTCTGTCCCCAGTTGGGACAGTCCCAACTATAGTGCTGCAGTTGGGCCGGCCCAACTATGGTTGGCCAATATCTGTAGAAAATTTCTCAACCTTCCCCGAGTTTATGCAGCTCATGTTGATGCTAGTTGAATGTGTTGACACTAAATAGCATGACCGCTAAAAAGATTATATTTTCGTTTTCAACATGAAAACCATGATAAACAAGAACGACCAGAATTTTGGGCAGAAAGAAACAACTTTTTTTCTTCCTTTTTCAATTTCAAATCGAATAACAAATGAACAAAACGCACAAGGACCCAAATGGGATGCCCTCAAGTTTCCAGATGTAGGAAAATTGCGCAAAGGTCGAGTGATCCCACAAATCGAGCATGCACATGATACGGTGATGCACTGGATAGTTGGAGATATTAAAACGTTACCCACCATTTATAACAGCTATCAGAGGCCTCTAGGGTGAAATTTATTGGCGTGGTTGCAAAATAAGGTAACATTATTCTAGGCACGTTGAGTTTGTGACATTCACTTCCAAGAATGAAGGCAAAAATAACCAAAAATTCGATCTTATTAGAAATGACCGCCATTTTCAACCACATGATGCATGCGCATGCATAGACCGGACTCTGGAAGAATAAGTCTTATCAATGACCCCACATTTGCACAATGAAATCAGAAGTGGCACGGCACCAGGCTGTCAGTTGACGACCGCCCTCAATGTGCGGGCTTGTTTTATTCGTGTAACACCACGTGCCCGGGCGCGGCGGGCGGCGTTCATGCATAGGGCGCAACTTTAGATTAAAACTAAAAGCCAGTTCTACCATACAGAGTGGTGGGGGTTCAGTTGTACTAAGATATAATTATAAATGATAAACCTTAACTTTTGCTTAATCCATAAAATTCATCAATATTTTTACAACAACCCGTTTTAGTCCAAGAATAATTTTCCATTTTTTTGTATTTCAATTTTGGCACAATTGATTTCAACTTTCAAATTTGCTACAACCAAACATGAACACACAAACAGAAACAAACACGAATCCTGACAAATTTATTGACAAACTTTCCCGACGCCAAAGTTCAAAGTTTAGCTCCCCCCCAAAAAAAGTCGGTCTCAGGTCAGCGCGCGCCGATTTTGAACGTGCGCGTCAATTTTTTTTCAATTCTTTCTCAAAATTTTTCAAATACAGCGCCCTCTATTTCCGGACCGCCACAAGTCCAAGTTTCCCCGGCTGGCCACAAGTCAGAGGGGCAATTTGTTCACTTTGACATATGCAGCAAGGTATGCTTTGTGTTGGTCATTGTCTCGCAGGAATCTAGGGAATTCCTTTCAGACATCTTGGGGGGGCTGTGTCAAGTAACAATAGTCTGGAATGTGTACAGGGATTGGACATGTTGGGGGGGTACCCCTCGGTCTCATTTCTTGCTGGGTATACACTTTGAAGGAATTGGGACCAGACTAATTCATGGGTAGCTCGTACCCTATACCCAGAAAGAAATGAGAC